TTTATCATTGTTTTGTTTGGTTTGTTGGGTTTTTTTTTCCCTTTCCCTTTCCCTGCCTCCTCCTTCCCCTCCTCCCCGCCCTCCCCGCTTCCTCCTGCCTGGGAGGCGAAATCTCCTTCCCCCTTGGCGAAATGACCCCGCTGAACCCCCGAAACGGCCTGGGAACGGGGTGTTGGAGGGATGGGGAAGAGGGGCAGGGGGTGAGGAGGAGGAGAGGGGGGTCTTACCGTTTTTTTTTCCCTTTCCCTTTCCCTGCCTCCTCCTTCCCCTCCTCCCCGCCCTCCCCGCTTCCTCCTGCCTGGGAGGCGAAATCTCCTTCCCCCTTGGCGAAATGACCCCGCTGAACCCCCGAAACGGCCTGGGAACGGGGTGTTGGAGGGATGGGGAAGAGGGGCAGGGGGTGAGGAGGAGGAGAGGGGGGTCTTACCGGACATGCTGAGCAGGATCGGGCAGCACCGCACGGTACCCGCAGCAGCAGCAGCAGCAGCAGCCCCGCAGCAGGTGACAAAGGGGGCAAGAAAAGGACCAAACCTTCCAATTCTCAAAGGGCCAAGCGACCTGCTGGCCCGGTGGCCGATGCCAGGTGGATCCTGACAATATTATTGTTTTAACCCCACGGGTTATAAGTTGGAGTTTTTCTCCCCTAATGCCAAGTATTTAAAACCTCTAGAAACCAATGATTTGACAATCAATGATTGCGCGATGCTTTCAATTTGAATATTCAAAGGCTCCACAAAATGGGCTATCTTTTGGTGGAACCGAGCACATCCCCATCTAGCAGAGGGGCCTGGGGAACAAGATCTGGTGGGGCCATCCCCCCACACCCTTGGCTTTTGGGACATTTGCAGGGTTTTGCCCATCCTGCCCCAAACGAAGCAGATGCCTCGAAACTGGCTCAGGATTTGCCCCCCAGAGGTGCAGGCTGAGCTCCAGCCCTCTCAGATTTCATTTGCTACCTGCAGAGAGGGCTCTGTCAGGGACCCAGCTGCTTTATTTTTTTTTTTTTTGCACCATTTTTCACATTTTAAGGCTAAACACTCAGGTTTTGGGACCAACATGGCAAGTGGGCTGGCGTGGTAAGAACCAAGAGGCTGCCCTGGGCAGGCAGGCAGCTGGAACAACCTGAACCTCACTTATTTCCACAGCACCCCCTTTCCCAGATTCTGGCCTTATAGTGGAGTTTATCTGTGTTTTCCCCTAATTCAGACCTTGCTGTGCAAATTGCCCCTTCCCTTTTCACAGGCTTCAGCTCTGCCCTGTGTGCTGTGGGGTTTTCAGAGAGTGGTGGGGTGAAACTGGGTTGTTTTTTTGGGGTAACCCTTCATCACCCTACAACACTGGGGTAGTTGGGGTTTGTAGGTTGGGTTTAAGCTTCTCCCTGGGCACCACAGCCTCTGCAGTGCCTGGGGAGTATCTGGCTGAGCTAGAAAGCAGGCCAGGCTGTTAATCATCTACCAGCAGCTCAGTCTGGCTATTGTTGCAGCTGAATCTTTTCTTCAAGTTGAACAAATAGAGCCCATTTCGGTGGGGAGTGGTGGTGGTGTTGGTGCCATTGCCTGGTACTGAAGGTTCTGCAGGTCCTGGTAGGCCAAGCCATGCCTGGGGTAGCTCTGCAGGGACACTTCTCTAGGGTCCCTCTGGAGGGGAACCCTCTCCCCCCACCTGCAGTGCAGCAAAGCAGAGCAGGTGGTGCTGGGTGAGCTGCTGAGAGGGGGGTTGGAGTTTGGGGGTGGCAGGGGAGTGCAAAGGCTTGGCCATGGTGAGTGGTTTGGGACCTGAAGCCCTGGTGCTGCTTTGTCCTGCTGGAGCACCAGGGTGGGGGGGGGGGCAGAGCCTGGGGAGGCTGCTGGGGCTGTGCAGGGGAGCTGGGGTCATGTTTACCTGTGTAACCAGAGATGCCAGAGCAGAGCCTGCTCAGCTCCAGCCAGGGCTGAGCTGCACGCCTTGAGGAAACACAAAGCACCCATGTTGGGGGTGTTCCTGCATGGTGACCTGGGTTTCAGGACGTTGCCAGGCTCACAGAGACCCTGCTTGGCTAAGACCTGAGTGCCAGGCTGGGTCAAATGCTTCCAAGACAGGCCCAAAAAAATAATAATTAATAAATGCTTTCTGTCCTTGCTTCTTCCCCAGAGCCTGACAGGAACACAGTGACCCTGGTGTCCCCATCCATGCAAGGCCCTTGAAGAAGGTGCAGCTGATGCTGAAGGCTTTGCCACTTTGTCCCACAGCAGCTCCAGGACAGCGTGGTCAGTGTGGGGCTGAACGTGGCTGGGGGCTCATGGGAGGCCTCAGGTTTGGGGGCACAGGAGGTGGGTTTGGGGCAGGGAGACCTGCACAACACCCTCAGATACTCTAGGGCTCCTTGCCCTGCCCTGTGCTCAGGGGAGCAGCTCTGAGAGCAGCTGGCTCTGCTGTGCTGGCTGGGTGAGTGGCTGTTGCCTTGGGCTGCCCCACAGGAGCCCCCAGACCCAAAGGCAAGTCAGGGTCACCCTGCCCCACACTTGGCACATGTGCAGGAGCCCTTCCCTGCTGGCTCCTTCCCCAGGATGAGCTGCCCCAGTGTCCCTGGGGCCTGTGGGGTGGGCAGAGAAGGGATTTGGGGCACAGGGAGTGGCCAGAGTTGGCTGTTTGGAACAGGTCTGAACAAGGCTGGGGAGTCAGGAGGGTTTGGGAGGGACCCCAGCCCAGGCAGGGGGGTGTGTGGCTGTGGGGGTAGGGGCAGGGGCTGTGCTGAGCCCCTGGAGACCTCAGTGGGCTGTGCTGAGCAGGTTGCACCAGGGCTGCTGGTGCTGCAGCCCTTGAAGCTGCTTCCCAGCTCTGCTGGAAGGGGTCAGGCTGGGAGGGCAGACCTGGGGGGCAGCACCTTCCCTTTTGGGGCAGAACCTCCCCTTTTGGGGCAGCTGCAGAGAACCCTAGGGGGGGGGGATCTCATTCCATCCTTTCTGCCAGCAGACACCTTGGATGGTTTGCAAGAGCCTGAGCAGCCAGGGAGGTGCCTGTCAATGTGTGTGTGTGTGTGTGTGTCCTGATGTGCAGGGAGAAGTCTGGGACGGAGGGGGAGGGGGACAGGGGGTTGGGGTAACCCTTCATCACCCTACGACACTGGGGTAGTTGGGGTTTGTAGGTTGGGTTTAAGCTTCTCCCTGGGCACCACAGCCTCTGCAGTGCCTGGGGAGTATCTGGCTGAGCTAGAAAGCAGGCCAGGCTGTTAATCATCTACCAGCAGCTCAGTCTGGCTATTGTTGCAGCTGAATCTTTTCTTCAAGTTGAACAAATAGAGCCCATTTCGGTGGGGAGTGGTGGTGGTGTTGGTGCCATTGCCTGGTACTGAAGGTTCTGCAGGTCCTGGTAGGCCAAGCCATGCCTGGGGTAGCTCTGCAGGGACACTTCTCTAGGGTCCCTCTGGAGGGGAACCCTCTCCCCCCACCTGCAGTGCAGCAAAGCAGAGCAGGTGGTGCTGGGTGAGCTGCTGAGAGGGGGGTTGGAGTTTGGGGGTGGCAGGGGAGTGCAAAGGCTTGGCCATGGTGAGTGGTTTGGGACCTGAAGCCCTGGTGCTGCTTTGTCCTGCTGGAGCACCAGGGTGGGTGGGTGGGCAGAGCCTGGGGAGGCTGCTGGGGCTGTGCAGGGGAGCTGGGGTCATGTTTACCTGTGTAACCAGAGATGCCAGAGCAGAGCCTGCTCAGCTCCAGCCAGGGCTGAGCTGCACGCCTTGAGGAAACACAAAGCACCCATGTTGGGGGTGTTCCTGCATGGTGACCTGGGTTTCAGGACGTTGCCAGGCTCACAGAGACCCTGCTTGGCTAAGACCTGAGTGCCAGGCTGGGTCAAATGCTTCCAAGACAGGCCCAAAAAAATAATAATTAATAAATGCTTTCTGTCCTTGCTTCTTCCCCAGAGCCTGACAGGAACACAGTGACCCTGGTGTCCCCATCCATGCAAGGCCCTTGAAGAAGGTGCAGCTGATGCTGAAGGCTTTGCCACTTTGTCCCACAGCAGCTCCAGGACAGCGTGGTCAGTGTGGGGCTGAACGTGGCTGGGGGCTCATGGGAGGCCTCAGGTTTGGGGGCACAGGAGGTGGGTTTGGGGCAGGGAGACCTGCACAACACCCTCAGATACTCTAGGGCTCCTTGCCCTGCCCTGTGCTCAGGGGAGCAGCTCTGAGAGCAGCTGGCTCTGCTGTGCTGGCTGGGTGAGTGGCTGCTGCCCTGGGCTGCCCCACAGGAGCCCCCAGACCCAAAGGCAAGTCAGGGTCACCCTGCCCCACGCTTGGCACATGTGCAGGAGCCCTTCCCTGCTGGCTCCTTCCCCAGGATGAGCTGCCCCAGTGTCCCTGGGGCCTGTGGGGTGGGCAGAGAAGGGATTTGGGGCACAGGGAGTGGCCAGAGTTGGCTGTTTGGAACAGGTCTGAACAAGGCTGGGGAGTCAGGAGGGTTTGGGAGGGACCCCAGCCCAGGCAGGGGGGTGTGTGGCTGTGGGGGTAGGGGCAGGGGCTGTGCTGAGCCCCTGGAGACCTCAGTGGGCTGTGCTGAGCAGGTTGCACCAGGGCTGCTGGTGCTGCAGCCCTTGGAGCTGCTTCCCAGCTCTGCTGGAAGGGGTCAGGCTGGGAGGGCAGACCTGGGGGGCAGCACCTTCCCTTTTGGGGCAGAACCTCCCCTTTTGGGGCAGCTGCAGAGAACCCTGGGGGAGGGGGGAACTCATTCCATCCTTTCTGCCAGCAGACACCTTGGATGGTTTGCAAGAGCCTGAGCAGCCAGGGAGGTGCCTGTCACTGTGTGTGTGTGTGTGTGTGTCCTGAGGTGCAGGGAGAAGCCTGGGCTGCAGGAGGAGGGGGCCAGGGCTGCTGCTGGGGGGGACACCTGTAAAAGAGTGGGTTTTGGGTAGAGCACTGGCCTGCAGTGCTCCTTACTGAGGTTGCTGCCTGTTCTTAGGTGCAGTGCTGGGTCCCCAGCCCGTGCTCCCCTGCAGGCACAGAGTGATGCTCTGGGACCACCCCCCCCCACCCTGTGCTGTTTGTGACCCCTGGAAGGTGCTGAGAAGGCTCCAACCACCCTGCCAGCCCCAGGACTTGAGGAGAAAAGGCAAGGAGAGCCTTAAAGCATCTGCTCGTTGCACCTTCCCAGGGCCAGGAAAGCTCCTGCTCATCCTCGGCGAGGCTTTTGGTGCTGCTTCTGTGGGTGGGGGGCGAGATGGGAGAGAGGGGGTGGCCCCTGCTGGGGGTGGATGCAGCCAAAGGGACGGGTGAGGGTTGCCCAGGGCTCCTCTGGGTGCGTTTGTGTGTGCGGAGCTACCTCTAGTGGCCGTGGGACTGGGACTCCCAGTCAGCCTTGTTCCCCATCATTGCAGCCCCGGGAAGGTGGAGGGTTCATCCTGGGAGGGGTGGGGGGCAGCGTGGCCTCTGCCCACTCGTGTTGGAGAGAGGGAAGAGCTCTGAGCTGAGTCCGGGGCAAGAAGGAAAGAGGGGAGGGTGTGAGTGGTGGGTTTGGAGGTGGGAGGGAGGGTGAGGGTTCCTTCTGCACAGCCCAGCAAGCAAGAAGCTGCCCCAAGAGCCCCTTCAAACACCCTGATCTGTCTGCCAGGCCCTGGGGTAGCACGGTGGGCTTTTTTTGGGGGAGGTTTTAGTCTTCTGTTCTGTGGGGCTCAAACGTTGCTGCCCAAGGCAATGCCCTGCTCACAGCATCAGGGATGGCCATTTATGCCACTGGGTGACCAGAGACCATTGTACAGACTCTGTGCTGTTAAGGGGGGGAGGAGGGGGCTCAGTCCTGGCTTGCTCCCCACCCTTCCCAAATACCTTCTGGTGAGGTTGGTCTGTAGATTGCAAGGATCAGAGCAACTTGTTTTCTCAGCGAGTGAGAAGTATCAATCATCATGGAATCACAGACTGGTTTGGGTTGGAAGGGACCTGAAAGATCATCTAGATCCACCCCCTGCACGGGCAGGGCCACCTCCCAGCAGCCCAGGCTGCTCCAAGCCCCATCCAACCTGCCCTTCAACACTGCCAGGGATGGGGCAGCCACAGCTTCCCTGGGCAACCTGGGCCAGGCTCTCACCACCCTCACACTGCCTGAGGTTCTTGTTTGCAGGAAAGGCTCACAGAGTGCAGATACTTTTTCAGGCTGTGTATTTTACTTGTAGCACAGTGGGTCTGTGAGAAAAGGCTTTCACAAGGCCCCTAGAAGGCACCACAATAAGCTACATGTGGTATATCCAGGTGACTGTGTTTCTAAATACAGCTTTAGGGGAAAAAACCAAAGTGCAAGTAATTAATTTACTTCAGTAATGGTCCGCTTTTCTTTTCCTCCAGCTCTGGGCTCATCAATAAGTTCTCCGACCTTCACAAGTCCCCCAGATGGAACTTCCATCCTCTTTGGCCCAGGCAGAGCCATCCTGAAGAGCTGGTGTCTCCATGGGCTGCTCTGGAGAGAGGTGGCTCATCCTGGAGGTGAACTCGTTTGGCATCAGGGCTGGGAAGGAGCAGGAGGAGCTGGCAGAGAAGCTGGGGGGGTAGTGGACATCTTCCAGAGGGTGCAGAGGGTAGGGGTGAGCTCCAGGGAGGGCAGGGGTCCAGCCTGAGCTGCGGGTTGGGGAAAGCCCCCCGGGCTGATGTGAGGAGAGGCAGCTGGTGCTGGCAGGCAGGGCTTGCAGGGGCTCTGGGCAGGCCCCCTCTGCCTGGCTGAGGCTGTCAGGTGAGGTCTGTTCCCAGGGCTCTCTCTGCGTGGAAGAGCAGAATAGAATCATAGAATAGAATCATCCTGGTTGGAAGGGACCTTGAAGACCATCACGTCCAACTGTAACCGAACCCCCCCCTGCCATGACCTGATTTACCCCTTCAGGGCTTAAATCACATCCCTGAGCTCCACATCTACATTTCTCTTAAACACTTCCAGGGATGGTGACTCCACCAGCCCCCTGGGCAGCCTGTTCCACTGTTACCCTTTGGGTAAAGGAATTCTTCCTAATATCCAGCCTAATCCTCCCCTGGTGCAGCTTCAGGCCATTTCCTCTCCTCTTGTCATGATTCACTTGAGAGAAGAGCCCAACTCCCACCTCCCTACAACCTCCTCTCAGGTACAAGTGGGGAAAGAAGACCAGGAAGACCCTTAAGAAAAAAAGCTTATCCTGGAGGTAATGGAACATCTATTCCCAAGGCCTGTCTGGGGACACTCACAAGGGTTCCTGTTGCTCTGGAGCAGTGTTTGGTGTGAAAGCTGTTGGAGGGGAAGATCCATGCTTGGGCAAGGTCTGGAATGGGCTTGCAGGGGGATGGAGCAGCCCTGACCCTCAGGAGCTCTGCCCTGGGGGTGTGAATGGAGCTGACTCCTGGGAAGTGGCAGGGATCAGGATGGGCAGCTGCCTGGAGCCTGCAAATCATGTTCCTAGAAACTTAAGGAGCTCATTGGGGTAGTTGCTTAGGGGAGCAGGGCAGGTTGTTGATTTCAGAGCTGACCCTCAGCAAGCAGGGACAATTAGATGGAGAGGGGGAGCCAAGAGAAGAAGTTCCCCACCTGCTGTGTGCTCTGCCAGGGCTGCCTCCTGGGACAGCCACAGCTTCCCAACCCAGACCCCCTGAGTTAACCCAGGTTTTGTGCTGCTGAGGGACTCAGAAGCAGGGACTCACCAGCAGGACGTGTGCTGTGTCGTTGGGGAAGGGTGGCAGGAGGGAGGGCACAGAGGAAGGGCTGAAGAAGGAGCTGGTCCCAGCTGTGAGGGAACCAGCAGGGTGATCCCCATACTGCTCGGTGAGATACGGGTCCAGAAGTGCTGGGTAGCCCTGAGGGGCAGAGGAATCACACAAGAAGGGCTTGGAGCCCAGAGGGGACGAGTAGATGTCACTGACAAACTGCTTTGTGGGGTGGAAATCCACCTCAGATGAGAAGGGTCTCCTGAGGCCGTAGTACCCAGCCGTGGTGGGTGAGCCTGTGGTGGTCAGAAAAAAGGGTTGGCTACAGGAAAACCAGGAACAGCAGCTCCTGGGGTGCCCAGAGAGCTCTGGGTACCTCTGCAGGTACAAAGTAGAGCCCTTTGCATTCTAGCTTGGCCCAGGGCAGGAGGAGTCAATCCTGGCTTGGGATGAGTGTCAAGCCTGGTGCTTGTAGCACCTCAGGCTGCCCTGATCCAGCTGAAAACCTCCATCTGCAGCAAACCCACCTGCTCTGGGAAGCCCCAAGCAGGAGGCCAGAAGGTTGGAGCTGGGCTTTTCCAGGCTCTGCTGCTGCAGCCCCTGGGCTCTGGGCTGGAGCTGCAAACCCACCTCCCTCTCCTGTGGCCTCGCTCCCCTCTCCCTGCCCAGGAGCTGAGGGGACAAAACGTGTCAGCTCCTGGTTTTGTACTTTCCCTCCAGCTTGGGGGAAACTGGGAGATGCAGAAGGAAAAGAAGGGGTTCTGTGTGGCTCTATCAAAAGAGGTGGAAGCTGCTCTAACTACTTCTCTTCTCCCCTCTTTGGGGATTTCATACAAGAACTCAGGGCCTTTCCTTTATTGCTGCTGTTCCTGGTTTGAGTCTCTCAGTCCCTTTCCCCTGGAGTTCTCTGAGGGGTGACCCTGATCCTGTGGTTCTTTGCTGTCTCCATGTCCTTTGGAGGAGAAGAGACAGGCTGGGCCAGCTGCCCAGCCTGCACAGCAGGTAGTGATTGATGTGTGGAGGGAAACCTCACCTGGCACTGGGACAAAAGGTGACTGAGAAGTGCTGCTGCTGGCCTGCAAAAGAGACAGAGATGTGTTAAAAAATGACCTCCCAAAGCAGGGCAGCTCTCAGGGCATGTAGTGTGGGAAGGGACTCCAAGAGGGCAGGAAGGCACTGGCCCAGGTTGCCCAGGGAAGCTGTGGCTGCCCCATCCCTGGCAGTGTTGAAGGGCAGGTTGGATGGGGCTTGGAGCAGCCTGGGCTGGTGGGAGGTGTCCCTGCCCATGCAGGGGGTTGGAACTGGATGATCTTTTAAGGTCCCTTCCAACCCAAACCAGTCTGTGATTCTACAAAGGTGTTTGCAGAATTCAGTTGCACTATTTGAGCCTTGGTGCTGTGGGTGTGAGGAGCTTAACTAGAAGACTTCAAGTCTGGGGCCTCTTGAGGTATCAGCAGATGTAGGATATGAGACTTTGAAGGCCACATGTAGGGCTGATAACAGCAGAAATACAAAGATAACTGGCTTCCTCCTGGTGCACTGCAGGGCTCCTCAGGGCAGGCAGGATGCTGAGCAGCCCTTCTGATGGTGGGACACACCAGGTCTCAACGAGCTGGTATCTCAGTCCTTGGCTGCTCAAACAGGCAGATTTTGCTCTGCCTACATTCCATCCCAGCTCTCCTGGGCTGCCTGCCTGCCACATTTGAGGGGTCCCTCCAGCAGAACCAGCAGGCTGTGAGCAGGAGGCAGCTCTTCCCAGCTTCTCTTTGGCTGCTGTAGCAGAACTGATACTAATAATAAATACCCTCTTGCTCTCTAGGTAAGAGAAACTTAGCCCTGAGTGACCCTGCTGCTAATTCCTTAAAAAGCAGAGTGGCAAAGGCAGCTGCTGGAGCAGGGATGAGACAGGGAGCTTCACCAGTCCCATCTCCAGATCCCCCAGCCCCTGGAGCAGGA